ATAAAATAGATAATCATATGTAAGCAAGAATGTAATCCTCACTTAATGGATGTGCAAGATTATCTGCCTTCAGAAATGAGCCCATTTCCACCTCGACAGCTCCCAGGGCAGTTTCTGTGGCTTGTCCAGAATTTTTGCAGCTGGAAAGAGAGAAGAAGGCTGTCTTAGCCAAGGGGATGTCTTGAGCAGAGAGGCAAAAGAGCACAGGGAGGGCACAAGGACTAGTCAGAGTCTAATTTGGCTGCAAATACAGCCTATAAAGCAAAGTGCAAGAAAAGCTGATTAATTCCAGATATGCAGTTCCTCAGTACCTGTTTTGAGGCAAGTAATGGGGGAGGACCATTGGACGTTCTTAAGCAGGGAGGGCAACAACTGTTAAGAAGATGAATCCGAGCATTATATTTTTGAAGAACATGAGAAGAGAGAAACTAGAATTGGAACGGAGATCTGGGAAAGTCAAGACGCAGGCTGCCACACCAGAGAGCGAAGGGGAATTGTCACTGTTGGGACAACAGCAATGGGTGGGGACCTGTGTTCATATGGAGGGGAGTATAATTTTTTTTTTTACTTTACCAAATCTGTCTTCATTAAAGTAAACAAATCATTACAGCACTATCCAAAACTTAATGAATGTTGGCTATAATTTGCTCAACTTGCCTATCGTCAACTAGGCAAATGCCAGCAAAGAGTAGCACTCACCTTCCTTGTGACTACATGTCAGCAAAAATTCCATCCCTACTTATAAACGTTATTTTAGCAGAAGAAAGCCTTTGCAGATTTCACGGCTTTTAGTGAAATGGTATTTTCAGTAAACTTTTTCTGAGTGGCAAGGAACCAGGATTTTTTTTTCCCTCTAGAAATCTTAAAACTGGATAGAAATGCTGGCAGTAGACACAATCAATAAATATCGTAGTTTCTCAAATGAAAAAGATTTCCCCAATATGAATTCCTTTCCTAAAGTCATTCAAACACCCTGACCTGAGATTGAGTCTCAGTCCTATAATCACAGAGATTAGAGATGGCCAACAAGAGAGGTGTCAGGTCATGTGCAAAAGGGGACTCCTCCTGGGATCACGCCTTCATGCAGTCCTCTCCCTTTGCGTGTGGGATGAAGTGAGTAACTTGCTTCTAACAGAGAGAATAAGATAAACATGATAGGAGGTCACTGAGACTAGGTAGCAGAAATTCATAGATTACATCTTGCTAGCACTCTGGCTCAGATGAGACCAAGTGCCATATTTGAGTTGCCCCAGGGACAGGTCTACGTGGCCAGGAGCTGAGGGCACCCTCTGGCTGTTAGTCCTTGAGAAAATGAAATCCTGACAATGACTGTGCCAGTGAGCCCAGAAACCAGTCTTCCTCCGGAGACACGTGTAGCCCTGTCTGACACACCATATCAGCCTGTGAAACACCCTGGACCAGGGGTGCCCAGACAGTATGTCCAAATTCCTGACCCACAAAAATTCCAAGATAATAAATGTCTGATTTTTTTTAAGCTGCTAAATATTAGAACAACAGATAACTCATCCAAGGAAGATGATACTTAACTGACCTGGGGACAGTGGGGGACGGATGCTCTTTGAGATAAAAATCCCAGACTCGTTGGCCAAAGATGTACAGACTCTTTCTTTGAGGCTTTGTTGATTTTAGAAACTTTTCATAAAAAGAAACCTCTCCATCACCCCTTTCTTTCACTGTTTCCTAGGGCTGATTAAAGAAACGTGAGTTGATTTTCAATTTCAGGCGACTCAGGGGGGCATTCCAGGAGAAAAGCGGCAGGAAATTGATGCCATACACACCAGGCAAGGCAGATGCTTCTGAAGCTGACACATAGGTGAAGCGCACCTTTCCTTTGTATGCATCTTACCTTCTTTTGATTTTGCACTGGTATTTGCTTTTAGGAATCTGGGAAAGGGGGACATATACTCTCAGTAGAAAATACCATCCCAGAATTGCATGATTGACACCAAAATACTTAAATGATAGTTTAAAAATGTCACCAAAGGACTTTTAAGAAATCTCATTATCTCTTCATTTATGTTTAATTTTGGCGTTATCTAGAGAAGTTATTACGCCTGTGAACTGTAGGATAAACCTCCACGCTAAACCTTTTAAATATGCTTTTATGTGAGATAGAATTACTTGTGGTTAAGTTCTTTTCACCAGTCCTCTTGCTGTGAGAAAAAAAATTACAGGACAATCTTGTCACATAATTTGTAGAACTTAAAGATATTCAATGTCCAAATCAGTAACCACTTCTTTGCATTAGCTACTTCTGGTCTTTTCACATGAATCTTCCACGGGAGTGGAAGGCAGAGCTTCTCTGTACTTGAGCTTGACACCTTGGTGAGACTTGTGGTCAGGGACTGTCACCTGAAATCCAGTCAGAGATGAGCTGTCCTGAATCAAGTCTCCTGCTCTCGGAGACTTTTCAGCCTTTGAAAGTGCAAGCAGATCTTTGCATTTCATCCAAGACTGAGGCCAAGGTTTTCTCTGTTTGAGTTGACCTGGCCTGTCTGTGAGTGAAGGACAATGCTGTTTGCATTTGTTCCTCAGCGTTACCTTTTTAAGCTGGCTACTGGAGCCTCTCTCTCTCTCTCCTCTCTCTCTCTCTCCTCTCTCTCTCTCTCTCTCTCTCTCTCTCTCTCTCTCTCTCTCTCTCTCTCTCGGTGGTAGATCAGCACCATCTCCGCTGCAGCTGTGGTAATAGATGAGCATTCCCTTCTGCAAACACCATGAGCACCATGAAGCTTATGTCCATGCCATTAAAGCAAACCTATTATGTGGATAACTGAGGCAATAAGTCCATCTCTCCTTCAAGCATCTGACTATTTCAGGGAAACGGTACATGCTGTTCTAACTAGGTAAACACTGTGGACTTCTAAGTCTTGTATTCCCTATGGAATAGGTTATAACAACTCCTACCAAAAGTGGGTTTTGCTGATTAGTATCTGGATAAATATTCACAATGTAAACAGATGCCTAAAGGTGATGACTATGGCTTCCAACTCCGGGCATGCTTAATTTCTTCCCTGGGTTTTGGCACTGGGGAAGGACTAAGCTTTTTCTCGATTCACATCTTGTCTTCTGAGACATGATGGGCTGCATGGTCAGTTATTTGTCCTGTGATGAGAAAACCTAGAGGTGAGGCAGGAAGAAGGTCAAGAAATGCGAGCCCAGGCTCAGGTGTGGTCCACAGAAGTGCACACACAGAGTCCCAGAAGCACAAGCTCCTATGAGCCTTATGGCAGAGAACACCAGCTCCAACAAAAATATGTGCCCCTGCTCCAAAGTAGAGGCAGCCCCCCAGCAAGTGGATGCCTTTCCGAGTGACCCTGCATCGCGGTATGATTGATGTGGCAGAACTGATATGTGTCCCTTCTGAGTCGAGACTGTAGAAGACATCAGAGCCTCTACTGGCTCATTCCCCTGGTTTTCCACTACCACTGTCCTTCCTCTTTCTCTCACTTGGATGTTATCAGCACATATTCTGATTCCTTTGCAAGTCCCTTCAACTCTCCTTGCCCTCTTCTCTCCCTCTGATCTAGTTCACTGGCAAAACTTCAGATCTGGTTGAACCCAATGATCCGACTTCTCTAGGTGAGCAGTCAAACAGGTGGGCGATGGGAAAAATAAAATAGCCAGACTGGAAAACCTTGCTCCATTTTGGATACATGTTCTCAGACCTCAAAGGAGTACTCAGGACTGTTCCAAATTTGACTGCCCTTTCCTCATAACCTTGCCTTCTCCAGTATTCAAGATGACAGTTTTGTATCTTCTCTCTCCAAATTTCCTACTCTTGCTCGCTGTCTTCACTGCATCCTTCACTGAAGGAAGAGGAGTTGACCATCAGATGGCAATGCTCTGTCCCCACCACTATATCACACTCTCCTCTGCATAGCTCATCTTCTCCCTTATCCTGTTACATGAAATGATCATCCCTGCTTCTATCAAAGGCCGATTCCCATACTTATGCTCCTGTCTTCTTGAGAAATTTACTGCTCAGTCCTCCCCTCTCAATCTGCCGTCATTAATTTCTCCTTTTCAACTGGCTCAGTTTCATCAGCATCGAAGATGCCCTGGTATCTCTGATCTTGAAACAAATGAACCCCAAAACCTTCCTTCAGCCTCATATCCACGTTTTCCCTTTCATAGCAAAACTTCCCTAAGATTTACTTTTAGATTTTATTTTTCTTTCCCTCATATTCTTCTTCATATATATGTATACACAGACATATATATGTATACATTTTTTAATTGAAGTATTGACTTACAATGTTGTGTTAGTTTCAGGTGTACACCATAGTAATTCAGTTATACATATAAATATTCTTTTTTCATATTCTTTTTCATTGTAGGTCATTACAAGATACTGAATATAGTTTCCTGTGCTATACAGTAGGACTCTGTTGTTTGTCTATTGTATATGTAGTAGTTTGTATCTGCTAATCTCAAACTCCTAATTTATCCCTCCTCTGCTTTCCCCTTTGGTAACTGTAAGTTTGTTTTCTATGTCTGTGATTCTGTTTCTGTTTTGCAAATAAGTTAATTTATATCATTTTTTAAGACTCCATATATTAGTGATATCATATGATACTTGTCTTTCTCTGTCTGGTTTGCTTCATTGGTATGATAATCTCCAGGTCCTTCCATGTTGCTGCAAATGGCATTATTTCATTCTTTTTTTTATGTCTGAGTAGCATTCCACTGTACATATATATACACCACATTAAACTCTATGTCTACTTCCTCACTTTCGATGTGCTCCTTTACCATTAGAGACTGACATCCGCTCCCATAATGCCTCTGAAACTGCTCTCATCAAGGCCACCAGCAATGGCCATGCTTTCCAGTTGAATGGGCACTTCTCTGTCCTCATCTGTGCTCTGACAGGGGCATTCCATGGGAGGACTCTCCCTGAGGCATGGCACTCCATCAGTTTCTGTGGCACAACTCTTGACTCTCCACCTACCACTTTGGTCGTGACATCTCAGCCTCACCTCCTGGTCCACTTGTCCACTTTCCTGCTCATCATCTTCACTTAGATGTCCCACAAGCATCCCAAATCCCATACTCACAATATAGATCTACTGACATCTACGCTGCCCCCCACCCATAAAGCTGGAAGTTATCTTGGACTCTGAAATCTGATCCATCAGCATATCCGGTTGGCTCTGTGGTTTTTGCATCCATTATCCATCTACTCCTCCCCACCTCGGTCCATGTCCCTTCCTCTCTTGCCTGGATTATTTTATTATGAAGCCTCCTGACATGTCTGCATCCTTCCCTCCCATTCTCTGCAAACCAGAGTCATTATTCAAAATCTCTTTAGTGAATCCTTTTTTGCTGATCTTAAAAGAGCAGCCAGGTTCTTTATCATGACCTACAAGGCCCTGTCCCCTTTGAACACGTTCATAAACCACTTTCTCCCTTACACACTGTTTTTTAGTCTCTTTTCTGTCCCTTAGTCAAACCAAAGTCCTTCCCACCTTAAGGTTTTAGTATTTGTGATTCCACCTGCCTGACTGGCTCTCCCCTTGGTTCCTTGCTGACTTGGCTCTTTCTTATTCCCCAGCTCAGGACTTAGATGTCACTTTTCCACCAAGTCCTCCCTTGGCCACCTTCTTTGAGTAGGTACTCCCCAGGGGTCACTATCTTTGCTCCTTGTTTATGTCCCATTAAGCACCTATCACAAGCTACAATAGTTATTTTATTTATGAATTATTTTCAATCTGCCCTGCTGGAACATAAGCTTGTTCTCTATTGAATTCCAGTACCTGGCACCACACCTGCATACAATAGGCACTCGATATGTGAGTCCTAAGTGAATGTACGGAGTCATGGGATGATTATTATATGGTTGGGTCGTGTTCTGCCCTTACCTGTACATTATTTCATTTACCTGAGTGCAACCTGGTTGCCTCTGAAAGAAAAGAGACACAATTCATGGTCATGTATTTCCTTCCCATTCCCTTAACAATCTAACAGCAACTGTAATGCCGCAGAGTCTGGGCATTTTAGATGGACATTTGCTCCAATTCTCTTCGGCAAAGAGAGACCATGAAAACTCTTAAAGGTGTTCAGAGATGGGGTCGTTCAATTTCATGAAAGAGGACTGGCTTGGAAGTCAGTCACCCTGCCGTAAGTAGTGTGGTCTCGGGCAAGTCTTTTCATTTCTCTGGATTTTTGATTCCTCAAGTACAAAAAGAGAAGTTGTGACTCAGTTTTCCAGGTTTCTTGCCAACAACAAAATTCTAGGATTTGGTGAGTGTCTGCAACCTGCCTTCTAAGCAGAGTGCCTCATTGTGGTGGTGGGGGTGGCGTAGGGCTTGAAGGAGTCCCAGTTCAGCCCAGTGAGCATGGCAGTGACCATGTGTGCAGCCACGTGCAGTGACCCTTGCATACACAAGCACCTGTAATGTGCCCGTGTATCCTGTTGCCACCAAAGGCATTCCACTTATATTGTAGGACCAAGACGAAACCTTTCAGGGGCACGGCCACAGCGATTCCCTGTCAGCATCCAGCATCCAGGAGCCTGCAGATGGCGCCCTGAGGTCACTCAAGACTGAACACTTGGGGTTTTGTGGGTGCTGAATTTTTCTTTTAAAAGGAGTCCATGTAGCCTACAGACAGCTCATGGCATTGAGGCAGCCTCCATCTCACTGGCAGGTTTCCACAGATCTTCTATTTATACCACATTCTAAGTAGCATGAAGAACCCCAACCCAAAGGAACAACAGACCCATTCGGGAGCCCTCAAAGTAGAGAGAACTGAGTTAATGGTTTGAGCATTTAGGAGCAACCATTCAGAGGCCGGAGAAAAGATGCAGCCTCCTTAGTTAGAGGGTGGCTCTCTGAAGCTGTGATTCTGTCTCTGTTTTCACCCGTGTTCTCATCCCCATCCTTGTTCACATCAGGAAGGCGAGAATAGCACCCGTCCTGGCCCCAGGGCACAAAAAGCTCCCCTTATTTGGGGCCACGTCATGCTGTAATTTTGTTCACTGCATCTGGTCCAGGCCGCTTCCCTTCTCTGACTTCCCATTTAGGAGCAAATTTAAGGCCAAAGATACTGATGATCATTTAGGGGGTTATTCCAGAGCCTTGCACTGGGTGGAGAACATGCAGTGACAGAAGCACCGCACTGGACGGCACTTCAGGGCAGCGAGGTCAGTGGGGAGGACTTGGAACAGAAAAGCCGTCTGCCACAGGTGCCTTCCAGAGAGCCTGGCTCTCATTACCCCCACCTGTGGCTCAACAGTACAGTCACTCTCCTTGGGATTCCACAGCCTCTCCAAATATTGCCAGTTTCTTCCAATAGAAGTCGATTCTCATTTATAGGTGAGGTTGAGCTCATTTCCTGGGTGTCCTTTGTATTGAGTACTTTGCCTCCATCAAAATCTCAGCAGGAAAATCACAGCTGTTTCACAAGTTTGGCATGTCTTCCCTAAAGTGCCGGCCAGGGACGCAGAAAGGAAAGGTTCTGCTTGGTCGTTAGCCTTTTTCCAGTAAAGTGTGACATGCTGAACCTTTCAAGAGTGATGGATTAAACAGAAGTGGAAGCTCCAAGCCAGGATGACTTGGCTACTCTTTAAGATGTTATATCCCGCCATGGGTTGATTTGCTGCTATAATGAGGGATTGCATATTGAAAGGTCCATTCTGGATGGTTCAGTTTGGAGCAGGCTGGTAATTCTGACTGTCGATGCCTTTTTCCACCACCTGGAGAAAGACTCCACCCAAAGCAAGCCGAAGACATCCTTTAGGTTATAAGTAATTTTATTTGTATGCTTTAGAACTACCTTCCCTCTTAGAAAGAGAATAAGATGCTTTGTTTTCTTATAATCAAACAACTCCATTCCTTCCTCACCCAGTTCTAGTATCTGTAAATGCTAAAAACTCCCTGAGATTCCCATACCAGAGCCACATAAAGATATGCCGCCCATGTGGATATTGGGGGACTGCACAGAACTGATCCAGGAGCTCAGTTTGGCCTCAGTCCTTAAAAAAAAATGTTTACTCTACAAAAGATAACTCCAAATAAATTAACGAGTAATGGGATATGAACTTTGCCATTTGCCTGACTTTGGTGAGGTGCCCTCTGGTTTGAATTTGATCGCCTCTCACTAATGACTTTTCCAAGACGTTACAGAGACTAGGGAAAGGGCTGGAGCATAAAAATATAGCTCAGTTAGTCAAAAAGAGTCACCATGTTGAATAGAAAGCTCTCAGACCAGTGGCTAGACTTTCAGGAGTGTTTGGGCGCATGTAACCACAGCGATGGAATGCCTGTCTCACAGCGCTTTCAAAGGTATTCTTAAAAAAAACCCTTAAGTTATTGCTTCTCTTTATTGTACATGGTGTCCTATAAAGAAGATATATGTCCACAATTGAGCTTTGAAAGTGGACCATGTGGCCAGTTCCATTTAAAGGGGATGAAGTCAAGCAGTAAATTTGCTGGTCTCTCTTTTCATATGGACTGTATCTGAGCCAGCAGTTGGTCTTTGATGTCATAACAATGGCTCTCGGCCACAGAGGCAGAAGAGGATCCCTGTAACACGGAAACTAGTCCACACTGATTATAATCTGGAGACCAGCCTGCAGGGAGTGCACATCAGGGAGCGTGGGGAGTGGGTCCCAGGGCTGCCAGTTGGTTGCCTTTCCCAGTGAAAGATGGCCATCCCCTCTGCATTATCTACCCCACCTCCTGCATTCTTGACTGCGTTTTTAACTGAAGCATGATATACACATAGAAAAATGCACACCTATAACTGTACAGCTCAGTGAGATTTCACAAACTGAACACACCGATGTGACCAACACTCAGATCAAGAAAGAGAACCTTGCCAGCACCCTAGATGGCCCCCTTGCACTTCCTTCTAGTTTCTTCCTTGATGGGGGTAACCAGTGTCCTCTCTTCCAAAAGCATGGTTAGTTTTTCCTGATTATTTTCACATAAACAGAACCATCCAGCATGTACTCTTTTTGTGACTGGCCTCTTCCATGCAACACTGCACCTGTGAAGTTGTACATGTCGTGTGGAGCTGTGATGGGCTCGTTCCCAATATGTACACTTACTGCCTAATTTTCCATCCTACTGTTGATAGGCATTTTGGCTGTTTCCAGTTTGCAACTATTTTAAGTAGCACTGCTGTGAGCATTCTTTTTCAGGTTTTTGAGTCCATAGATGAATACATTTCTGGTGGGTGTGTACCCAGGAGAGATTGCTGGGTCAGAGGGTACATATGTATTCTGTTTTACTAGTTTCTTGGGAAAAACAATTTTCCAAAGTGTCCGTATCAGTTTGCATTCCCTGTAGGTGCTCCACTGTCTTGACAACACTTGCTAACTTTTTGGTTTTTCTTTTCATTTTGCCATTCTGGTGGAATAACGTAGTGATTTCACATTTCTAGTGAAGTTTTAAAGTTTTTTCTTTTAAAGTTCTTTCTTTCTGTTTGAGCGATCTACCTAGTCAGTGCTCATTTCTGCAACAATCACAAAATTAATAAGCTTTTAAGATCATTGAAATGAGACTGGTCCCAACTCAACACTTGGGGAGACAAAGGGAGAAGAGAGAGGGCGCTCTAGAACATATCTAAAGTATGAGACACAGCGAGTCAGAACTAAAGCAAAACAAAGCATAAACTCACTGGGGGTCCAGGGTGGTCAGAGACTTGGGAAGAATGACAGAAAAAGATCTGAAAACAGAGTGGACCAAAAGCTGATTAGATATTAGCTCTGTAATGCTGTAACCAGAAAAAGAAATATGATCCTACTCTCAGCTATGGGGAACATTTAAGAAACTCTGATACTTGTTCCTCAGAAGACCTTGAGGAAATGGACTTTGTGACATATGGAGGAAAGGGACAATCTGATTAATCACAAGGAAGAGATTCTTCTGGTCAGCAACTGTAATTAGACTATCATTTTTTTTTTTGGTGGGGGGAGGTAATTAGGTTTATTTATTTATTTTTAGGGGAGGTACTGGGGATTGAACCCAGGACCTTGTGTATGCTAAGCATGTGCTCTACCATGAGCTATGCCCTCCCCCTCAGGAACCATAGTTAGGGAGCAGAA